AAAAAAAAAAAAAAAACTCTCCAGAAAGCAATATAGAGAAAAAACAAACGGAAAATATAAAAGAGAGGTTAAAAGACAGGGGGTTAAAATAAGAAAGACTGAAGTCCCAGAAGGAAAGAATAAAGAAAATAGAGGGGAGCCAAAGTGCTTAGAGACCTAAGAGCTGCGAATTATGGAGGCTAAGAAATGAAACCACGGGTACAGGAAGCAGAACATATATCAAACAGATAAATAAATTCATGCAGTCATGTAATAGTCAGATTGCAAAATACCAAGAGAGAAGATCTTAAAGGACCAAAGAAAAGATACACTACCTAAAAAGAAACTACAATCGATAAGAAAGATAAATTTCTCACTGCTGTATCAGAAGCCGGAGGAGGAGGGCATACTATCTTCAATGTGATAAGAGAAAATGATCAACCTGGAATTTTATGTCCAGAGAAACTGTCTTTCAAGGAAGATGGTGAAATACAAAGACATTTCAGATAAGCAAAATAGAAACTACTTCCAACAGACTTTCACTTAAGGAAATTCTATTTTAGGAAGAAGGAAAATAGTACCAGAAAGGAAGTCTGAGATACAAGAAGGAATGGTGAGCAAAGAAATTCGTAAGCACCTGTGTAAATCTAAACAAGTTCTACCTGTATAAAATAATAATGATGATAATGTTATCTAATTTGTGAGGCTAAAAAAAGAAAATATTGGACAACTGAGAGAGTGGTTAAAATTTAGGTTTTATGTTAATTTTAAATTAATGTGTCATGCATATTAAAATTTTAAGGATAACTTCTAAAAGAAAAGTACCTAACTTCCAAGCAAATAAAGAGGAAAATCAAATTTAAATTTTTTTAAATAAAAGTTATTTTAGCTAGGTGCGGTGGTTCATGCCTGTAGTCTGAGCTCCTCGGGAGGCTGAGGCAGGGCAATGTTTGAGCCCCAGGGTTCCAGTCTACAGTGAGCTACAATGGTCCCACTGCAACTCAGCCTGGGTAACAGGGCAAGACGCTGCCCTGTCTCTAAAAAAAAATAAATAGTACCCCAAAATATGCACAACTGTGATCTATTAGTAAAACACCACCAAAAAAAAAACCACTTAAAATTTTTGTTATTTACAA